ATATTAAAGAGGTTTCTAGAATTTCCTTCTTACATCTGCGGAATATTGCAAAAATTAGATCCTGTCCAGGGGTGATGCTGAGAAACTAGTCCATGCATTTGTTAATTCAAGGCTGGACTATTGTATTTCTTGCCTATCAGGAAGTCCACAAACTGTAGTTGAAAGCCTTCAGCTGATCCAAAATGCTGCAGCCAGAGTTCTGATGAAAATTAAAAAGAGAGATCATATCTCGCCTATCCTGGCTTCTCTTTATTGGCTTCCTGTTAAATCAAGAATAGAATTTAAAATCTTCCTTCTCACATATAAAGCTTTAAATGGCTAAGCTCCATTATATATCAGAGATATGATTGTTCCTTATGTCCCTAACAGAGCACCTCGCTCTCAATCTGCAGGTTTACTAGTGGTTCCTAGAATTTCTAAAAGTAGAATGGGAGGCAAATCTTTTGGTTATCAGGCTCCTCTCCTGTAAACCAACTACCAGTTTTAGTCTGTGAGGCAGACACCCTGTCTACTTTTAAGGTTAGGATTAAAACTTTCCTTTTTGATAAAGCTTATAGTTAGAGTGGCTCAGGTTATCCAGAGCTATCTTTATAGTTATGCTGCTATAGGTAAACTAAAAGGTAAAGTTCGCTTGTCTCAGTCAACTTCACCTAAAAGCCTCTAAAGCTAGTTCCTTCAACATCCACCTAAGTCCAGGCATTTAAATCACTGATCTGTACTGTTGTTTGCCCTCTGGTCAGCTTGCCAGTCCTGCTCTGATCAGCACAATTCAATCCGTTAGAAGTGATCCGGTCAATATTTTTTTTAGTTCTGTAGCTCTAAATGAGAATATGTGTTATTGAAATCAAGGCTCCCTTCATTCACACACCAGTGGTGGGTGTTCAGGGCCTTCAAGCCGTTCACTGCTGGCCTCAATCAGTATTACTAAACAACATCCATAATCTAGACTTTAATTTTCTTCTATCCGAATGTATTAATTTATTTCAAACAATTAATTCCTCTTAATTTTATTGCATCTCTATTGGCTGCGCTGCTTCCATTACATCTATTTAGTTGCTATATTTTTTGTCCAATCAGATTTCTGCCTTAGAGTGTTGCAATTTCAATCAAATCTGCCCAGGGCCTCAGAATGACCTGCGTGCCTAAATTCATAGGAGCTTAAATGATCTATGAAGATGTTTTCAGTTTCAAGTATGTCACCTACGCTGAAGGAGGAAAGGCGTGGTCTAAAACTGAGGGACAGGCCCCTCCTGAATAACTTCATATTTAAACAGACACACACACATATTTGTGTCTTCTTTAGAGAGATAGGTATAACTGACTTGTGTACCAGCAGCAAGATGCTTCTCTTCACATTGGTTCTTGGGTTCTTGTTTTACCAAAAAGGCAAGTTCTTGATATTTTTTAAAAACATTTGCTGAATTTGCTAGTTTCATTTTTAAGTTGGTTTCAACATCCTTCCTTCCCCTTTCTCCTGATACGAAACAAAATGATTTATCTTATTTGTGGTTACATTGTTAAGATTATTTTTGTTACCAATTATCTTCCTTCTACTCTGTAATTAACCCCTTTTTTGTCATTTTTAAGACTTGCACTTTGACATTTAGAAATATTGCAGTAACACAGTTTATTTAATACAAAACTAAGAATAAAATTATACTTTCTCCTTTTTTTAATTAGCTGACGCCCTGAACTGTTATCAGTGTATACCAGATTCCTCTGGGAATTGCACGGAGGGAACAGCTACCTGTGCCACACAGAGTAATCGGTGCATAGCATTGACAACTGCTGTCTTTCAAGGTACATAATTATGTAATTTCTATTTGATAGTGGTCCTTTATTTATTTCCACCACTTTTTAAATTATGTGTTCTCTGCGTATAGGTAGTAGTAAGCTTAGTGAGGAAAATGCCAAAGGTTGTGGTGTGCCTGAAGGGTGTGTTGATGGATCCCTCAACCTGGGAACAGCCAGAAGTGTGCTGAAAACCACCTGCTGCTCAACAAATCTCTGCAACACAAACTATCCAGGTAAAATTTCCCTCGTTATTTGTTTGGAAACTTTGCAGTACTTTGCAGCATTTTCATATTGATAGAAACAACTCATGTTATCTGAGATTGAAGAAGTCTTGAGAGAAAATACTTTGTCATAGAATAAATTAAAGATAAAATGACATTTGGAAAATTATTTCCAAGGGGGAAAAGCTCTCTCAAAAATACATTTTTATTAGCAAATATTGTTTGAGTGGGGTTAAAAGTCTGCTGTGGAGCTGGACAGATAGCTGGCATCCATCTTGTTCAGTATTCCAGGCGAGGTGCTGTTAATCTTGAAGTCACCAAATCACCCCTTACAGATCTCCTTATTTTATTTTCAAAATTATTTTTCTTTGCAGTTTGCTTTTTTTCTTAAATAAAAAATAATAATAAATAATAATAAAAATGAATAAAAATACATAAATAACTCCATACTTTAAGAAATAAATATAGGAAGAGATTAAAAACGTATTGAAATATTGACTGATTGTATAATTTTAGTCCCGAATTTCTTTTCATTGGCTGAACTATCTTTGTTTCTTAGCTGTTTCTTCTAATCCCCCTCCAAATGGCAAAAAGTGCTACTTCTGTGATGGACAAAGTTGCAATAATACTCTTATTTGTGTAGATGATGAAAACTACTGTGTCAAGGCAACAGGTAAGAGCTTCATTATAATCTTCAGAAAAATGTTAGTTGTGGATAAAAG